CTCTGTGTCTTTTCATTGCTCATTTTCTTTTAGCACTGAATATTATTCCATTGCCTGGAGGTACTATAGTTTATTTATCCATTCACCTACTGAAGGACATCTCCATTGTTTCCAAATTTGGGCAGTTTTAAATGAAGCTGCTATAAATACCTTTGTGAGTTTTCATACAGTCAATAGTATTTTAACTCCTTTGGGCAAATACCAAGGAGTGTGATTGCTGAATCATATGGTAAGTAAGAATGTGTTTAGTTTTGTAAGAATCCACTGACTGTCTTCCAAAGTGACTATACCATTTTGCATTTCTACTAGCAATGAATGAGAGTTCCTATTGCTCCATATCCTCACCAGAATTTGTTATTTTCAGTGTTCCAGATTTTGGCCATACTACTAAGCGTGTAGTCATAGTTCATTGTTTTAATATGCATTTCCCTGATAATTATGATATAGTGTATCTTTTTATATACTCCATATCCTCACCAGAATTTGTTATTTTCAGTGTTCCAGATTTTGGCCATACTACTAAGCATGTAGTCATAGTTCATTGTTTTAATATGCATTTCCCTGATAATTATGATATAGTGTATCTTTTTATATATTTATTTGCTGTCTGTGTATCTTCTTTTGTTAGGTATGTGTTAAGGTCTTCAGCTCATTTTTTAAATTGCATGACATTTGTTTCTTATTGTTGAATTTTAAGAATACTTTTGTAGATTTTGGATAATGGTCCTTTATCAGATAGGTCTTTTGGTTATGTTTTTTCCCAGTCAATGGTTTGTGTTATTATTTTGACATTGTCTTTTACAGAACAGAAGTTTTTAATTTTAATGAAGTTCAGCTTATCAATCATGTCTTTTGTGGATCTTGACTTTTATGTTGTATCTAAAAAGTCATCACCATACCCAAGGTCATTTTGTTTTTTTTTCAAGTTACCTTCTAGGAGATTTATAGTTTTGGGCTTTTGCCTTTAGGTCTTTGATTCATTTTCAGTTAATTTTTATGAAGGGAGCGAGATTTGTGTATAGTTTTTTTTTTCTCTTTTCTCAAAGATGAGTTGACTGTATCTACGAGGGTCTTTCCTGGGCTCTCTATTCCCTTCCATTAACCTGTTGGTATACTCTTTTGCCAGTAAATACTGTCTTATTCTGCTTATGATGCTACAACAAAATACCCAACACCAGGTAATTTATAAAGAATAGTAGTTTATTATCTGACAGTTCTGGAGGCTGGGAAGTTCAAGATCAAAGTGCCCATATTTGGTGTCTCCTGTGGTCCTTCTTCTATTCTCACATAGTGGAGGGCAGAAGAGCAAGCTCACCAACTGCTGCCTGAAGCCTCTTTGATAAGGGCTTTAATCCTATTAGCAAGGGAGGAGCCTTCATGGCCTAATCAACTTTTGGAGGCCCCACCACTTAATACTGTCATGTCGGCAGTCCTGAATTTTGGATTGGACGCATACCATAGTATACACAGTCTTGATTGCTGTGGCTTTATAGTAAGTCTTAAAGTTCAGTAGTGTCAGTCCTTTGACTTTTGTTGTTCTCTTCCAATATTATGTTGGCTATTCTGGGTCTTTTTTGCCTTTCCATATGGACTTTACAGTCTAATTTAGTTTGTTGATATGAGCTGGGATTTTGATTGGGATTACATTGAATCTGTAGATCAAGTGGGGAAAAGTGACATATTGACAGTGTCACATTTTTTAAATCCGTGAGTATGGAATATCTGTTTATTTAGTTTTCTTTGATTCTGTTCATCAGAGTTTTTAGTTTTCTTCATATAGGTCTTGTACATATTTTGTTAGATTTATACCTAAGGCTTTGATTTTTAGGGGTGCTAATGTAATTGGTATTTTTTTCTTTTCAGGTGAGGTAAGTCTCTTGAAGGCAGCATATTGTTGGGTCCATCTTTTTAATCCAATCAGTCAGTCCGTGTCTTTTGAGTGGGGAATTCAATCCTTTTACATTAAGAGTTTTTATTGAAAGGTGTTGATTTACTCTTGGCGTTTTATTGATTTTTGTTTGGATGTTTTAAATATCTTTTGTTGCTTTTTTTCTGATTTACTGTTTGTTTTCTGTATTTGTTGGTTTCTTGGGATGGTAGATAAACTTTTTTTTCTCTTTATTGTTAGCATTTTTATTTTACTGCTGGGTTTTGTTCTTTCTTGAGTATTCATGGTGGTGGCGGTTGTTTTTCAGGTACCAGACCCAGTACTCCCTTGAGAATTTCTCGTAAGGCTGGTTGTGTGGTAGTGAACTTCTGCAGTTTTGTTTGTATGGGAAATATACTACTTGACCTTCATTTTGGAAGAATAGCCTTGCTGGGTAAAGTATTCTTGGCTGGCAATTTTTGTCTTTTAGTATGTTGCATATATCATCCTATTCTCTTCTGGTGTGTAGGGTTTCCGATGAAAAGTCTGATATTAGTCCGATAGGGGCTCCCGTATAGGTGACTTGGTGCTTCTCTCTTGTAGCTTTTAAGATTCTTTCTTTATCTTTGAGTTTTGCCAGTTTGACTATATAACATGTCTTGGAGAAGACCTTTTTGGGTTGAATGTGTTTGGGGATCTTCGAGCCTCCTGAATCTGAAGATCTGTATCTCTCCCTATACCTGGGAAGTTTTCTGCTGTTATTTCATTGAATGTGTTTTCAATGCCATTTCCTTTTTCCTCCCCTTCTGGAATACCCATGATTTGGATATTTGAGTGCTTAAGGTTGTCTGCTACCTCTCTCTGATTTTCTTCAATTTTTAAAATTCTTTTCTCTTTTTTTTTGTCTTGCCTGTGTGATTTCAAATAGGTGATCTTCAAGGTCAGAGATTCTCTCTTCTGCTTGTTCTAGCCTGCTGGTTAAACTCTCTGTTGTGTTTTTTATTTCATTGAATGAATTCTTCAGCTCTGCAAGCTCTGCTACATTTCTTTTTCAGGGCATTGATTTCTTTGTACATTTCCTCTTTCAGATCCTGTATATGTTTTTTCATTTTGTTGTGTTGTCTAACTGAGTCTTCTTGTACCTCATTTAGTTTCCTTAGAATTGTTACTCAAAATTCCCTGTCAGTCATTTCACGGACTTCCTGTTATATAGGATCTAGAACTTGAGAGTTGTTACATTCCTTTGATGGTGGTGTACTTTCTTGGTTTTTCATATTTCTAGTATCTCTCTGCTGGTGTTTAGTCATTGTGGCAGCGGCTTTCATGGTCCACTTGTTCCACTCTGGTGTCTGCAGCAGTGGCAGGGAGTTTTGCTGATGGTCAGCTGCCTGTTGCTGCTTGGGCCTTTTGGGGGTGGGGTTTCACCTAGCCTGGATCCTGTGGGGGCTGCCGGATCAGAGCTGCTCTGCTTTTTTATTTTGAAATTCATTTGGTTATTGGTGGTATATAGGAAGGTGATTAACTTTTGTATATTACTCTTGTGCTTTGAGTCAGATGTGTCCCTCAAATGTTCATGTGTTAGAAATTTAATCTCTATGTAACAGTATTAAGAGGGTGGGAAATCCAATTATGTTTTTCAAATGTAGGGCCTTTGAGAGGTGATTGGGTCTTGAGGACTGTGACCTCATGGGCATGGTTTTGATGGCTTTATAGGGAGGGCAAATAAGAAGGTTAGTTCCCTTGCTCAGGCCATTTTTGCCATATGACACCCTGCATCACTATAGAGTCACCACCAAGAAGAAGGCCCTTACCAGAGATATGCCCCCTGCACTGTGGACTTCCGAGCCTCCAAAACTATAAGAAATAAATTCTGTTTCTTTATAAATTACTCAGTTTTAGGTCTTATCTTATAAGCAACGTGAAACAGGCTAATACACCTTATACTATGCAATCTTGCTATAATCACTTAAAAGTTCCAGGAATTTTTTTGTCAGTTCTTTTGGATTTTCAACATAGAGGATCGTATCATCTGTGGACAAAGATGTTTTGTCTCTTCCTTCTTAGTCTGTATATCTTTTATTTTCTTGTCTTAATGTATTAGATAGTACTACCAGTACGATGTTGAAAAGGAGTGGGAATGGGGCTGGCCATCTTGTCTTAATGTATTAGATAGTACTACCAGTACGATGTTGAAAAGGAGTGGGAATGGGGCCGGCCAGGTGGCGCACTGCTACAGTGCACTACTTGGGAGCGCGGTGGCGCTCCCGCTGAGGGTTCGGATCCCACATACAGACCGGTTCCTGCTCACTGGCTGAGCGAGGTGCGGGCGGCACCGAGGTTTGCGATCCTGTTGCCAGTCCCGGTCCGGTACGGGCGCGACACTGAGGGTTGCGATCCGTTGCCGGACACGAAAAAAGACGAAAAAAAAGAAAAGGAGTGGGAAAAGGGGATAACCTGACTTTGCACCTGATCTTAGTGGGAAAGCTTTGAGTTTCTTACCATTAAAAATCATGTTAGCTGTAGTTTTCTGTAGATAATCTTTATCAAGTTGAGGAAATTCCCTCTATTATGTTTTTACTGAGAATTTTATCATGAATGGGAACTGCATTTTGTCAAATGTTTTTTTCTGCATTTATTGATAAAATCAGGTGATTTTTCTTTCAAGTCTTTCACATGGAGGGGTAAACATCTTTGGTTTTTCATGAAATGCAGCCTCATAATACAAAAGATAACTATGTTCTTTTTCTTTATTACCCCAGTCTACATTGAACTTGTGCCTAAATTAGTTAATCTAACACATTATTTCAGGTGTGTATTTATACTTAAGGCTTCATACCAGATCATAATCTCCTTGGAGGAGCAAAATTTTATTCATACTTTGGTCCTTAGCAACAAGGATGTTTCTAGATCTATAAGGTAAACTTTGTAATAATATTATTAGTAATATTAATAAATTATTACAATGGCAGTTTATTTCTACTGTGATTTTTTTTCTTTCTTCCACCATATGCAAGCCACATTTTATATAAGATACATATAAGATAGGCAAATACACAGAAAAACAAATTTCTAGATTCCTGTTCTTGTGACCCAGGGCTGGTGACTTGAATTGAGGAGAAATGTGCTGTTACAGGAGTTGGTGTCGTTTGAGGACGTGGCTGTGGACTTTACCTGGGACGAGTGGCAGGACCTGGATGATGCTCAGAGGACCATGTACAGGGATGTGATGCTGGAGACTTATAGCTGCCTGGTGTCCTTGGGTGAGTGAAATTTCCTGTTAATGCCTAGGAACATCACTTTATTTTTGGTGATAAACATAGGAATGATTTATAAGGTTTAATGCTATTTAAGTATAAGATTCTAGTCCATGAAGAGTGTATCACCCTTCTCTATAAAAGGTTCAAATTGGCCCCTTCATTGCCCAGCTCCTGAAACCAAGCTGTTGTCATTCTTCAAATGACCTGACTTAGGAGTTTGGCAGAGTCCTACATTATTTCCCATTAACAGGGTACTGCCTTACCAAACCTGAGGTGATTTTCAAGTTGGAGCAAGGAACAGAGCCATGGGCGTTAGAAGAACTCCCAAACCAGAGCCTACCAGGTCAGTCAGCACATACTGGGCAGGGAGGCTGGGAAAGTGACTATGAAATCTGTATTTGAGAGTGGACATCACTGTTGGAGATACATATTTGGAAATTTGTGGTGTAAAGGTGGCGTTTATGCCATACTTATAGAAGAGGTTACCTGGGGAGTTGATAAGCAAATGATCAAAGAGGTCCAGGAGTAAGCCTTGGGTACTATGAAATCAGGAATCATGAAGCTGAGAAGGACCCAGCATAGGAACTGGAAAGAGATAGTCCTGGATTTAAGAGGACAACCTAGATATTCTGAGTCCTAAGGCCAGGTGAACCAAGGGTTTCATGTTGAAGGATTCATATTTCTGTTAGGGAATGGAGTTTCAAGTTAGTATTTTCTCCTACTCTTTGTGGAAATTATTCTAAAACAATAAAGAGAATGTGAAATGCACAAGAGACTCCATTTTCTATGAAGCTGGGAGGTAGCTGAAACTCCACTGCACAAAACAGAAGCCTTGAGCAGTAGTGAATTGTCAAGCAGGAATGTATGCATCAGGAATGGGAGTGGGGGAGGGAATGCAAGCTGATCTCAGAAGGAACTAGAAAACCATTTTTCAAAGATGGTGAGCACAGCCTAGATTGCAAAAGCAAATCCTTTAGACCAGAAGGGAGGGGGTGCTCTGGGTGGGGGACTTTCTTGTACCTGTTATGCTTCTGAGAAGCAGTGGAAATCATGTTAATGAGGAATTTGGAGAAAATTGTTTTCATCTACTGTGGCGAAAAGGAGAATTACTTTTTTTTATTTGAAAAATTCCCAGGTACCTATAGCCATGCCCCAGGGAAAAATAAAAACTAAACTTACCTAGGTACAAAATCCTGATCCTAAGCCATGTTTCTGCTTAAGTGACAGAAAAATGGCTGGCTATTGCCCCTGCAAGTAGCTGATCCAGGCATACCTTGCCATCTTCAAAGCAGAATAATGAGACAGATACTAGCACGATGCACCACCGTTGTTAGAATTAGATGGAGAAAAAGAATAGAGAATACAAATGGCAGGTGATAAGCACTTAGTTGAAAACTACAACTAGGCAGTAGGTGAGTATTTTTGCCACATATTTCTTCATAAATTTTAAAAAAAATTAAAGAAGCAACGAAAAGCGTGATTTAATACTTAAAAAGCTGTTAATGTAATTTGTTACCTTAAGTCAGTAGGAAGAAAAAAACATACTTATAAAACCAATATCCCTATTGATGTTTATAAACTTTTATGCCACTAGGATAGGAAGAAACTTCTTTACATGAGCATTCTGTAAGAAATGCTCATGTGTGGTTCATGGATATGATTATTTCTCTTTTCAGATGTCCGGATAGTCAATAACCTCATGGAGAGGAGCCAAGAAAGTCATGGTAGACATTTGCGGCAAGTTGCAATCACCAACAGTGACACCTCAATTGAGGAAAGAGTTAGATTAGGAAAAACATTTAATGTGAGCTTAAAGCATATTTCAAATTTGATTGTACATAATGGGAAGTTTTCAGAAATGAGGCCTGTGGAGTTTAATGTATGTCAGCATGCTCTTTTCCCTAGAGAGCCTGATGAGATGCATACTGGAGAGAAGCCTGATGTTAGTAATGTAACTGGTAAGTCCCTGAGGTGTTGTGAGCATCTTAGTGAGCATCACAGGAATCAGTCTGGGCAGAAGCATTTTGAATATAGTGGACAAAGGAATACCACCAACACAAAGGCCATGTTATTGACATGTAAGAGGATTCAAATGGGAGAGACCTTCTGTAAATATAATGAATGTGAGAAAGCCTGTGATAAGCCAGCTCTCATTGCCCAAGGGATAACTCAGGTAGGGAGGATAACATTTGAATGTAATGTATGTGGGAAAACTTTCTCGAAAAAGTCTAACCTCACTAACCATCAGAAAATACACACAGGAGAGAAACCCTATAAATGTAGTGAATGTGAGAAATCCTTCTTCATGAAATCAGTCCTTGCTGTACATCAGAGAACACATACAGGAGAGAAGCCCTATGCATGTAATGAATGTGGGAAATCCTACTGTCAGAAGTCAGGCCTTACTATGCATCAGAGAATCCACAGAGGGGAAAAACCCTATAAATGTTCTGAATGTGGAAAAACCTTCTGTCAAAAGTCAGCTCTTATTATACATCACAGAATTCACACAGGAGAGAAACCCTATGAATGTAATCAGTGTGGGAAAACATTCTGCCAAAAGTCAACACTTATTGTACATCACAGAATTCACACAGGAGAGAAACCCTATGAGTGTAATGAATGTGGAAAACTGTTCTGCCTTAAGTCAGACCTCACTATACATCAGAGAACTCACACAGGGGAAAAACCCTATGAATGTAATGAATGTGGGAAAACGTTTCGCCAGAAGTCAAACCTCAGGATGCATCAGGGTACTCACACAGGTGAGAAGCCCTACAAATGTAATGAATGTGGGAAAGCCTTCTTCCAGAAGTCATACCTTGCTAGGCATGAGAGAATTCACACTGGGGAGAAACCCTATGAATGTAATGAATGTGGAAAAACTTTTTGTGTGAAGTCAAATCTCAGCTCACACCAGAAAACTCACACAGGTGAGAAGCCATATGAATGTAAAGAATGTAGGAAAACTTTCTACCACAAGTCAGACCTCATTGTACATCACAGAACTCACACAGGGGAGAAACCTTATGAATGCAGTGAATGTGGAAAAATGTTTTGTCTGAAGTCACTCCTCACTAAACATCAGAGAACTCATACAGGGGAAAAACCTTATGAATGTAATAAATGTGGAAAAACCTTTCGTCAAAAGTCACACCTCAGCAGACATCAGAGAACTTACACAGGGGAGAAAGCCTATGAATGTAATGAATGCGAGAAAACATTTTGTCTGAAGTCAGTCCTCACTAAACATCAGAGAACTCACACACGGGGAAATCCTTCTGAATGTAATAAATGTTTGAAAACCTTTTCTCAGAAATCACACCTCAGCAGGCATCAGAGAACTCACGCAGGCAAAAACTCCTGTGTAACAGAAACTGGCTGTGTGTTCTCCAAAAATCATTCTCTTTTCTCTGGGACACATACTTAGCCTGCATTTATCTGCCTCCCATTATTTTGTGCAGTACCATATAACTGAGCTCTGTTCAGTAGAGTATGGACACAGGTGATGAGCATTACTTTCATGCCTGGAAACAGGAAAATGCCCACATAGTCTTCTCTGATTTCTCATCCCCTCTGGGACTGAAGTGCAGATGACCCCCATGGTGGCCTTGGGAGCTGTATTATTTCTATTTCTATTGCTTATAACAAAATACCTGGAACTGGGTAATTTATAAAGAAAATGAAATTTGCTTACAGTTCAGAGGCCAAGAAGTCTAAAGTCCAGAAAACATCTGGTAAGGGTCTTCTTTGGTTACTTTACAGCAATGCAGAAGTCTCACATTGCAGAAAATGGTGGAGCAGAGAGACTCACATGCTATCCTTTTAAAGCTGTCAGAACCATGCTCCTGACCACCATAATTAATCCACTCACTATAGCATGGTCCTACAATCTAATCACCTCTTCAAGGCCCCACCTTTCAATTACCATAATGGGTTTTACCACCCTCAACAGTTGTAGTGAGGGTTAAACTTCAGTGAGGTTGTGGGGTGGGGCATCTGGTCTACAGCAGGAACCATAGGTGGGAGAAGGACGACCACTGTGATTTAAGACAGAAGGAATTGATTAAAGAAACTAGAGATCTTCTCACATTTATCCCAACCCCGTTCAATTGTACTTTACATGAATGAGAAATAAATACTTTGCTGAGTCACTGTATGTGTGATCTTTTTGCATTACAACACAACCAGCCCATTCTTGCCAACCCACTATATGCACTTTCTGAGAGAAGTTACCAGTTGTTGTTTATCAGAAAATTTACACAGGAGAGAAACCTGTTGTCACCTTTTACCCCTAGTCAGTTTATGGAAAAATCAAAGAAATCAAAGGGAGAAATAACACAACAAATTGGGAATGCTTTATCAGGCTGGTACATCTCATTGAACATTGAGAATTAGGTAAATCTTCATAAATATCTTTAGTGTGTCACAACTTTCAACAAAAATTTCAACTTTCTTATATATATCAGAGTATTAGTGATGAAGAAAAACTATGTAATATGTATGTAAATTTTCAAATAGAAATGTCAAATATAGTATCAAAATTAAAAAAAAATATTTGACTAATAGACCAACTGTTACATATGAGTGGTGATATTGCCTGCGAAGGAACGTTTGACTGTGTCTGGAGACAGTTTTAGTTGTCATTACTGGAGGCTGGTAGGAGCTACTGGCATCTAGTGGGTAGAAGCCAGGGATGCTGCTGAACAGCTGACAGAGCACAGAACAGCCCTCTCAAGTGTACAGCATTTATGCAGATGAGTGTTCTATGTTAACAGATTTTATTTAGTGGAGAACTGCATAACTGTGGATAGGGAATATGTACACTTAGCCTAATAAATATTGTGGCTTACATTAGGATTTTCCACATTAAATGTCATTCTAGCCTCTTTATATCTTGTTAAATATATTAAGTCTAAAGTGTTTTACTATATACATTTTTCCTACTCTCCTATTGGATGTAAATTTGCATGACCATTATAACAAAACTTGAGTAATGAAGATAATTTTTTCTAACGTTTGAAGCTAACACAGAGCCAGCCAGTGGGTCTAATAGAAACATTAAATAGAAATGCACAAATTAGTCACATAATTGTTAACAGCTTAAATCTGCATTAACTTAAACAGCTGTGAATCATACTACCCATTTTATTCTACTCAGTGAAAAGCAGTCTCTGGAAGGAAAATTATTTCCTTTATTCCTATTCCTCATATGGGGCAGCACCATAGGTATGAGTATGTACCAAGTGCTCTGTAACCGAGGAATATCTACATTTTTATTTCCTTTGGTGGAGTGTTATGTGTGTGCCTTGCCACTAATAGGGGCAATACAGTCAATTCCAGCTCCAATTGTGTATGACTTTAGAAGGTAGAAACCTCTCTTAGATTCTGTTTCCTTATATTCAAAAAGGGAGTAGTGAATAGAATCTGCCTCAAAGGATCATTGTGAGCAGTAAATTATATAAGTAAAGTGCTTTCAATATTACCTGGCACCTGGTATACAGTATAATATCTAGCTATGATGGTGATGCTGATTATTGTAATTCCCATTATTCTGTTATAAATTGGTAGGAGGCTCTAAAAACTGGCTACACAAGAGACATCTTCAGCTTTTTGACAAAGTCTAGATTTTATTTCACTCAATACCCACTTGTACACAGGGATTTATTTTGAGTTTTTTATGAGTGGCTGAGACTAATCTTTCTTTTAGAGGTCATTTTGGGCTGAGTGTGTGACCCAGCTCTGTCCAGTGACATATTAGGGGGATTCTGTGGCATGACTGGGAAAATTCCCTAAAAGGAAGAGAGACATGGAAAAGATGGGTCTTCTGCAGTAGGTTATTGCTCTTGGTGGTCATGGCCCTTGTTTGCGTATTGCTGTCATAGGTATGGAGCCTGAGAATGACAAGTCGGAACACTGTAGAACCATTGTGAATAATATAAAGGGCCACCAAAATACCCAATCCAGGAACTGCTGTTTGGGAACATTTATGTAGAGCATTTTGTTTCTATTGTATAATAACCACCAACTTATCAGCTCAAAACAACACACATTTAGTATCTCAGGGTTTCTGTGGGTCAGGAGTCTGGGCACAGCTTAGCTGGGTCCTCTGCTCACAATCCCATAATTCTGCAATCAAGGTGTCTGCTTTTAAGCTCATTCAGGTTTTGGCAGAGTTTGTTTCCTTGAGGATATATGAATGAGGGATCTGTTTCTCACTGGCTTTCAACTGGAGGCTGCCCACAGTTTCCTGTCCCATGGCCCTCTGGATAGGCAGGGCACTTAGAGCTGCTGCTTCAAGGCTGGTGGACAAGGGTTTTACTCCAGTTAGGATAGTTGTAAATGACAATGTAATCATGGGAGTGACCTCCCTGCATGCATGTATGTGTGTGTGTATATATAGAGCTGCTGCTTCAAGGCTGGTGGACAAGGGTTTTACTCCAGTTAGGATAGTCGTAAATGACAATGTAATCATGGGAGTGACCTCCCTGCATGCATGTATGTGTGTGTGTATATATATATATTTGCATATTGTGTTAGAGCCAAGTCACAGGTCCCATCTACACTTCAGAGCAGAGGATTATATGAGAGTGTGACTCACTAAAGACTACCTTAGGGTGTGTAAACTCTTGGGCACTGAAGTTGTAGGTTTCTGTTCCTTAAAGCAGAGAAAGCATCTTAATGGTCTGAGATTAGTTTTACAACAGCTATTCACTTCAGATTATAGTGTATTATACTGTGATTATAGTATAGAATTACTATTTATCAGAATTTGCTTCAAGGATGGCTATTATTACATGCTGGATAACTCTAAGCACTAGAAATAAAGTTTTCTATTGTTTGAAGGAAATGTGTTTGTATATTGATTGATAAGCTGTTATATGAATAGAACATTCTTCTTGGAACCTAGTGTGATATCAGGTCTTTCTACCCTTTTAAACTGTTGAAAGTGAATATCGTTGAAATTGAATTGTTCATTGATGCCCTTCCCTGGTGTTGCTTGACTGGATTTTGTGTGTGGTGGGGATCTAAATTTACCTTCTTCTAATGTCACTTCCTTGTACTATGACTTACGACTAATTTACTCCATCTCATACTACTAGTCTTCTCAGGCTGCCATACAAAAACACCACAGTCTGGGTGACTTACACGATAGATAGTTATTTTCTCACACTTTTGGGTGCTGTAAGTCTGAGATCAAGGTGCCTGTAGGTTTGTTTCTGGTAAGGCCTTTGATCCTGGGTTGCAGACAGCTGTTTTCTATCTCCATACATGGCTTTTCCCCTGTGCACTTGGGGAGAGAAAAAGCTTTGGTGTCTTTTTATAAAGAGAGCAGTTCTGTAGGATTATAGCTCCATCCCATCACTTCATTTGACCTTCAGTACTTCGAAAAGTGTCTGTCTCTAAATACAGTCTCAGTAGGGGTTAGGTTTCTACATGTGAATTTGGGGAAAACAAAAACATTGAGTATGTAACACGCACTGATTTGAAATACCCTCTTCACATGTACTATATTATTTGAAGTGGTTTGTGTCACTTAGAGCTTCTTCCCCACATTATTCTCGTAACAGGCCAGCTGTGTGACCACAGGGGTGTCACATGACCAAGATGTGACAGCCACAGTGCTGCATGACCAACACTATGGTAAATGTTTTGTCCAGGGTGGGGAGTGAGTCTGTCCTGTCCTCTGCAATCATAATTACAAGCCTGTTTGTGTGGGGGCCTGGAGCTAAACAGGAGTCTGTGTTTAAGAGGTGGACAGAGGCTGTGAGCAGAGTTGGTGTCCTAACATCCAGGCAATCTGGACACTACTGAGGCCCTCACCATGGGCCTCTTCCTATGACTGCTATTGTACCAGTGTATTTTTTCTTTTTTGTTTCTTCTTTTGTTTCCATTCTGTTCAGGTGGGTTACTCTTATTTGTAATTGTCTCCTGACTTGACTGAATTGATTGGTCCTGTGTCTGACCTCTTTTTGATCTCAGTGAAGGTTTTGCTGATACTTGTGCATAAATACAATAATATCTGAAACTATAATAGCTTTACACTTCTTTTAATATATTGTAGAATAAATCTATTTTATTTACCCTCACATAGATTCTTAGTTTTATTTAAAATCTGTGTAACTTCCTTTCCACATCCATGAAGTCCTTTCTGAATTCTGATTGTACTTGGATTTAGCTTAGATCTCAGCATGCTACCCACTCAGGATGGAACACTTCACATAGATATGGGCCATTCCTAGGAGACCAAGCTACAAGTGCAGTGATGGGAGTTCGGGCTGCAGGTGCTCCTGACTTCCCATCTTGGTGACAGCCCCGCATGTCACCCCTACCACCTATACTGGTCCCTACTGGAGATAGCTCCAGTGGCCCTGGTCATGTCCCCTGGGCATCTTCCAAATGCTAATTATGAGATATCCTAAATACCAGGGTAAATACATATTTAAAGAAAAATAGATGGTTATGTTAATTTTATGGGGGGGGGGGGACCAACCAAAAAAGATATCCTAAATACCAGGGTAAATACATATTTAAAGAAAAATAGATGGTTATGTTAATTTTATGGGGGGGGGGGGGACCAACCAAAACAAAGCCAAAATAGCTATACTTATTCAAGACAGAGTTGACTTTAAGTGATAGACTTTTATTATATTTTATCTATTTATTTGTTGATGGGCACTTCTGTTGTTTACCTG